GTGTTCCTATTTTATAGGTGGGGGATCATATGAGTATAATATGGATTGGTGTTCCTATTTTATAGGTGGGGGATCATATGAGTATAATATGGATTGGTGTTCCTATTTTATAGGTGGGGGATCTTGCCATTTGCCCAGATTCTTATTTTGCAAGTAGTGAAATTAACTCAAGTTGTTACATATTTAGCTTAATTTACATTGTTCTGTCCTACTGTAAAACCCAAAGCAAAACAAAACCCAAATCATGTGTTCTTTGGGGCCAAGAAATTCCAACATAAGAATAGTTTCTCAATTTTCACAAGTCCTTAACATCCATGGACATTATTTGGTTTCCTATTTCTTCATGGATAAGTAACAGCGGTTTCCTTACCTATATCAATTATATACCAGTATTTCTGTATTATGTCTATTATTTCAAATATGCTTCAATGAGGTTATACCTACTGATTGTACTGAATGACAGCATTTCATATCCAGAAATCACATAGGTATAGTATTTATTAAGCATTAATTGCATAACTGGAAATAGAGACATTTAAAAGAGAAAAAAAATCACTAGTGATTGAGAATGAAAACATTCACAGAAGACATAGGAAGAAATAATGAACTAAATGTTAAAAGTTGGACAGAAGGTTGAAGTAGAGGGAATATCACTGACAGAAAAAGGAGAGAGATCTTCCAAGAAACAGCCTCATTTAACAATAACTGAAATAATGAGAAATAATATAACATAGGTTATAAAAATAGTTAATACAAACTTGAGGTGTAACGATGATTCTAAAATTAGAACCAAAATGGTTGATCACACAGTATGTATTAGAATCAGGAAAGATTATGGTCTTTGACATCATATAGGCATGGTTTGGATCACCAATTCTCTTTCTTTTCTTTTTTGCAGTTTTTGGTAGGGGCCAGGTTTGAACCCGCCACCTCCAGCATATGGGGCTGGTGCCCTACTCCTTTGAGCCACAGGCACTGTCCTCTTTTTTTATTTTTTGAGACAGTGTCTCACTATGTGGCCCTTGGTAGAATGCTGTGATGTCATAGCAACCTCAATCAAGCTCTTGGGCTTAAGCTAGTCTCATGCCTCAGCCTCCCAAGTAGCTGGGACTATAGGCGCCTGTCACAGTGCCTGGCCTTTTGGGGTTTTTTTGTTTGTTTTTGGTTGTAGTTGTCATTGTTGTTTAGCAGGCCCAGGCTGGGTTGGAACGCACCAGCCTCAGTGCCTCAGTGTATGTGGCTGGTGCCCTACTCACTGAGCTATGGGTGCTGAGCCATTTGAATCACCAATTCTATCAGTGACCTTGAGGAAACTAAATAATTTTTTTTGAGACAAAGTCTAACTATGTCACCCTCAGTAAAATGCAACCTCAAACTCTTGGGCTCAAGCGATCCTCTTGCTTCAGCCTCCCAGGTAGCTGAGACTACAGGTGTCTGCCACAACACCCAGCTAATTTTTCCATTTTTAGTAGAAGCAAGGTCTCATTCTTGCTCAGGTTGGTCTTGAGCTCAAGCAATCCACTTACCTTGGCCTCTCCAAGTGGCCTCAAGATTATAAGGACTGAGCCACCGCACCCAGCCTAACTTTTGAGAACATCTTTCCTAATCCATAAAATAAGCACAATATTAGATAGATATCATAGTGCTAACAGAACTAAATAACACCAGTAAAAACATCTAATACTAGCTGGCATTCTATAGAGATTATATAAATGTTATTGATTTATGTTGCCAATGTTGCTGTTTTCCTTGTCACCTTGTCCTCTTTATCATTCAAATACTATCACTTCCTCAAAACCTTTCCAATACCTTGCTCACTCCAAACCCAAAAGCTATTCTGGAATGGATCACAACACTTACAATTTCAAACACAGACTTCAGTAGCAGTCACTTTAACGGTTTCACCAGTCCAAATCTTAACCTTTTTTTCAGGTTACCAAAGCATAATATCCGGCTATCAAAGCATATTATTATATTCAGGTTAACAAAGCATATTATAGTGTTTTAATTATCTTCCTGCCCCACTCAGAAAATTTATGGTTCACCAAGGCAAAGAGACTGACTCCAAGCTCCTAAGTCTAGGCCAACCAATCTCTGCAAACTTGTATCTCAGAGCTTCCAAACAGAATGATCCCCTTAAGGCAGGATGCTCACTTCATTGTCTCTAGGTATTTACCTTCTAATCCTCTGAGTCGGTTTATTTACCTTCTAATCCTCTGAGTCACTGAAAGGGTTATGATGTATTTTTCTCTTCTTTTAAATGGAGAACATTTAAAAATGGAGAAATTGGCTCGGCATCTGTGGCTCAAGCGGCTAAGGCACCAGCTACATACACCTGAAGTGGCGGGTTCAAATCCAGCCCGGGCCTGTCAAACAACAATGATGGCTGCAAGCAAAAAATAGCCAGGCATTCTGGTGGGTGCCTGTGGTCCCAGGTACTTGGGAGGCTGAGGCAGGAGACTCGCTTGAGCCCAGGAGTTGGAGGTTACTGTGAGCTGTGATGCCACAGCACTCTACCCAGGGCGACAGCTTGAGGCTCTGTCTCAAAAAAACAAAAAAAACAAAAAAACAAACAAAAAAAAATCAAGAAATTTTCAAAGGAAAGAAGATACACATGAGAACACTCCAAGAAAGATAGAAAGGAAAGCTCTCCACAAATCCTGCACTCAATAGACGTTTATGGACACCCTATTATGTTATCAGGCAAAAGAGTATAGAACAGGGAAAATCAGACATTATTGCTCATTTTAAAGCTCTTAATCTAATGTTTCCCAACTCTGAAACTTTCAAAACTATTTAATTTATCAGGATGGTGACTTACAGTCAGGCAAAATTCACAAAAATGTTGCCTAAGTGAATGCTCTAATCTTAACTTCAGCCTTGGTTAAACTGAAAATTCTGATTCAACAGATCTGGGGTGTAAGTCTGAAATTATACATTTCTAACAAGCTTCAAGTGGTCCACTACTTCTATCAGCAGAGCACACTTTGAGTACTACTCATACTTAACTTTGAGACTTAAAATCCTATACAGACGTAACTTTGAGACTTTTATTACACTCTTCCTCCTTCCTAAATGCCACTCTGTATTCTACAGAAGCCAGCTTAAACAACCTGCCCAACATCATACTGAGTATAACTAAGAGAAATAAGATTATCAAAGACTTCTGACTCCAAACCCACGCACCTAGACCACTAGGAACACACTGAGTAAAGAACAAACACCACTAAGTATATATATATTTCATGTTCTATATTCCATATAGAACAAAATATTTTAAAGAAAAAATATTTAAGCTAAATAAGCCCCCAAATAGCCCTTCCTAAACGTAACTGATTTATTTTCAATGTCCCTTTACAGGTAATGGTAGAGGGAAAAATTTTTCATGCCTTTGCATCTTCTGGGATGTCTGAGACAAAAATAGGCATCCTTGACATATTATTTTAAGCTAAATTACAGGAGAAACAGTACATTCAAGGAGGGCTTCTGACCTTCTCTTTTCCTTTTTTCCTCTTTCCATTTATTTATTTGTTTATTTATTTACACTTCAGAATATTACAAGGGGACCTGTGTTTTGCTTATGTGAATTGCTTTTGTACAGTTTGAGTCAGATACTGCGCATTGTGCCCATTAGGTGTGAATTTACCATGACCCCCTTATCCTCCCACCTAAATTTTACTACTGTTGAGTTTTTCTCTTTTTTTTTTTTTTTTTGAGACAGAGCCTCAAGCTATCCCCCTGGGTAGAGTGCCATGGCATCACAGCTCACAGCAACCTCCAACTCCTGGGCTCAAGCAAGTCTCCTGCCTCAGCCTCCCAAGTAGCTGGGACCACAGGCGCCCGCCACAACACCCGGCCATTTTTTGGTTGCAGCCATCTTTGTTGTTTGGCGGGCCCGGGCTGGGGATTCGAACCCGCCACCTTAGGTGTATGTGGCTGGCGCCTTAGCTGCTTGAGCCACAGGTGCCGAGCCTACTGTTGAGTTTTACTAACAAACGTGCACATAGATAGTGGTTGATTAGTTCTAGTTTAATAATGACTATAAATGGTCATTTGTTTTTCTATTCTTGCCATACTTCACTTAGAAGAATGGTCTCCAGCTCCATACAAGTTTATAAAAGGTAATGTCTCACTCTGTCACCCCAGGTACAGTGCCGTGGCATCATAAATGATAGCAACGTCAAACTCTTGGGCTCAAGTGATCCTCTTGCCTCAGCCTCCTAAGTAGCTGGGACTAGAGGGTCCTGCCAGAATGCCCAGCTAGTTTTCCTATTTTTAGTAGAGACAGAGTCTTGCTCTTGCTCAGTCTGGTCTCCAACTGCTGAGCTCACGTGATCCACCCGCCATGGCCTCCCAGAGTGCTAAGATTACAGGCGTGAGCCACGCTCCCAGACAAAATTTGCTGTTAATAACTAAACTGGACAGCAGGCATAAACATTACACTGTGCCACACAAATCTGATATACAGTCTTCCACTTAGGTTAGTAAATCCCCAATATTTTCTATTCTAATTTAATGGGTATAATATTAAACTAGGAATCAGTTAAAGTAATTCAACTTTTAAATTTTTTATTAAAGAGTCATTTAAAAAAGGCTTACAATCTCCTCATTTCAGTTTTTTCAATTCTAGATATTTTATAGAGCACTGTGAATATTCTGGAGGATGCTACATGAAGAATTATTTATGAAGTTTATATTTAATTTTGGCATATGTTGCCACTTACATAGTCAAGACAAATGTCCCCAATATATCATGATATTCTTTTCTGCTAAAAATGAAACTGCAATCACATCTCATATATAAAATTCAATTCCATTCCAGAAGAAAAGACATGTAACCAAATAGTAAACATAGGTCAAAAAATGTAGTATCAGAATCAAAGAAATCAGGAAAAACATTAAAAAAAAAGACTTCAAATAGTAAAAGTCCATTCTATTTACCTAGAAACATATTTAAAAACCACATGCAAGGAACCTGTTGGCTCTTTACCTGACAATGTCATAACAAAGTTTAAACTTAAAAAGAAATGAGAAGCCCAAATAACCAATAATAAAATTGAAAAGAATCATACTTACTTGCTTTCTTCATCCAAAAGATGGAGCAGACCTGTTGGTTTTTTGCTAATAAGATTTATGCAACAGGTATTATCAATATAATCTATGTTGTGCCAGCTGATACCTTCAGTTCTATATTCCTCCTAGGAAAGCCAAATATAAAAATAACAATTTATTCATCTTGCAGAAAATAATGTATATATGAGGTACATATAGATACATATATGGTAATACAGATTGAAAAGGTTTTGCCATGCTTAAAAGAAAAAGCTTCTTTTTACCACCAATTTATACAATAAAAGGATGAATAATTTTGGTTTTACAAATCTTGAGAACAAAGTATATAAATATACATGTATATGTATGTATGTGTGTATATACACACAGACTTCTTTGAAACTAAATTTTTGGTTAGAATCCTATATCTAAGCCCACTCTAATCAAAATTAGGGCTGGATTTGTTTTAATTGGACTTGTTTTATCACTATGAGACAATGAAAAATACACCATGAAGAAATCTAATCTCTCCCCACATGACTCAAAGCCATCAAAGAGGACTACATTGGTTGGATCATCAAAAATGAATTTAGTGAAATCAGAATTTCTGAGAAAAGTAAGCAGTGATCAGAGACATAAATCATACAGAATTCACACATAACTTAAAATAAAATCCTTAGAACATTTTTTTAAAAAAGAAAAGCTTTCAAATTCCAAGATTAAAAATCTCAAATCTCAGGTCTTGAGCAATTATTTAAAATACTCTTATGAAGCCCTTATTTTTTTTTCTTATTCATTCTCTGTACAGGTAAATATTCTTTTATTCATCCCTTTGATTGCTTTACTTTTTAGATTTTTTTTAGAAAGATGCTCCTGAAAATGTAAAGAAGATACTTTTCTACAATGCAGTGATAATTAGGTGCCAGGTAAGATAACTGGTTTATCTAATGGTTTTAGCAATCACAAATAATCACACACAAAAATTAATTCTTTGCAAATATGATGGTTTTGCAAAACAGTGATCTTGTAATTCTATCCTAGTGTATTTATCTTATAAAGAATAATAAACCCTATGATAGACTACAGTTACCCCATCGGGAAAGGTAAATGCTTAATTTTTCCTGCTTAAGAATTTCACAAGAAATTGTTACATAAAGGTCACTTCCAAACTGTAGTACAAAAGGATCCCCCTCCCCAGCTCTTCTTTTTTACAGCATGAATAATAAGCATCCTAAATATCATGAAAATAATGATTTTTGCAGACTTTACTAGAAGTCCAAAAGTCCTCCTCATCCTTTCTTCTCAATGACCACTCAAATACTCCCAAAGTCAGCTTTTAATACAATTGATAAGATTCACTTGCTTATAAGTGTTATCTAAATGAAGTCACATAATACATACTTTTTGTCTTCTTGTTTTCTACTCAACTAATATTTCAGAGACACATCCATTTTATTGGATGCCCTAGAGTTCATTGACTTTAACTGCTGTAGGACAGACACTGTGAAACAACACAATCCCTCGCTTATATATTGTCTGTGGCTATTTTCTCAATGACAGCAAAGTTAAGGCCACATGATGAAAGAAACTAGAAAACATACTTATCTTCCCCTTTACAGAAAAAGTATGCCACATGCTGCTACAAAGCATTAATTCTAAAACTTTAATGTATCACAGGATCACATGAATGGCAGTGGCAACAGAGGACATCCTTGTCTGGTACCAATTCTAAGTAGAAACGCTTTCAGTTTTATTCCATTCAGTATATTAGCTGTGGGTTTGTCATAGATGGCTTCAATCAGTTTAAGGAAAATGCCACTTATGCCTATATTCTTAAGTGTTCTTGTTAGAAAAGGATGCTGAATTTTATCAAATGCTTTATCTGCATCTACTGAGAGGATCATATGGCCTTTGTTACCTCTTCCAGAAGTCTAAATACTTCTATTGATATGGTGAATTACATTTATGGATTTACATATGTTAAGCCAGCCTTGCATCCTAGGATGAAGCCTACTTGATGATGGTGTATAATTTTTTTTTCATGTGTAGCTGTAATCTACTGGCTGAGATTTTGTTGAGTATTTTGCATCTATATTCATTAGTGAAATTGGTCTAAAGTTCTTTTACTTGGGTCTTTTACTGCTTTGGTATCACAGTGATATTTGCTTCATAGAACGTGTTGGGGAAGATTCCTTCCTTCTCAATGATTTGGAATAGTTTCTGCAGTATGAGCACAAGCTCATCTTTGAAGGCTGGACAGAATTCTAGTGTGAAGCCATTTGGTCTAGGGCGTTTTTTGTTGGAAGATCTTTTATTGTTTCTTTGATCTCAGTGCTTGATATTGGTTTGTTCAAGAAATTTATTTCTTCTTGGTTAAGTCTAGGGAGAGGATGTGATTTCAGGTATTGGTCCATTTCCCCCACACTGTCAAATTTCTGGGCGTAGAGTTTCTTGCACTAGTCAGAGATAATCTCCTATATTTCCCACAACCTCAAACACCTGGGCTCAAGCAATATTCCTGCCTCAGCCTCCCAAATAGCTGGGACCACAGGCACAAATCACCACACCTGGTTAATTTTTCAATTTTTGGTCAAGTTCTTACTCTTGCTCAGAGTGGTCTCAAACTCTCAGCCTCAAGTGAATGCTAAGATTATAGGCATGAGCCAGCCAGCCATCATGCTTACACCACATCTATACTGTACCATTTCTGTGTCTGGATAACATTTATACACACAAACTTAACATTGTGTGACAGCTGCCTATAGTATTCAGTAGAGCAACATGCTGCCCATGTTTGCAGACGAGGAGCCTAAATGTGTAGTAGGCTATGCCATGTAGTAGGTTTGTGTAAACATATTCTGTGATGTTTGAACAACAAAGAATCACCTATCAGTGCATTTCTCAGAACACATCCCTATTGTTAAGTGACACACGACTAAACTTGGGTTCACAGATTATCTCAACTGTTCTTCAGTCCATCTTCCACAATTCCAATTCAAGTCTCCTAATAAATATATTTCAAGTAGTTCCTCACTCTGTAGAAGAAAAAAATCTTATTTTCTCTGCATGACATGCAAGGTCCCAGTTTGGAGTATAATGTTACCTTTGCCTAAAATATCTTTCCTCACTAACAATCCAATGACCTCCAACTTGTTCAAAACTATACTCCAGAATCACCTCTATGCAACCTTTGTAGACTTCTAGGCAGTTCTAATCAACTTCATTCTTTGTATAAGTACTCTACCTTCTGATTACAGCATTTATCATCTTGCATGGCAATTACTGTATCTCTCTCCCATCCCAATGTACCTACTATAATATTCCTTTTGGACAAAATTTAGAACTGAACCATAATAAACATATTCAAGATTTTCCCTGTAGCATCTTTGATGCTTCGTTTTTATCATCTTTTTTCTGAAACTGATTTTGTATTCAACTGAATTTTACAAATAATCACTGGGTACCCATCTCATATCAGGTATCGATGATGCACATATAAACAAGAAACTTAATATTTAAACTATCTTAAATCTCTTACTAGCAGCAAATCCATTTTAAGTGGAAAAGCTAGGGAAGGGAAAGAAAGGAAAAATAGTATAGATGGGCTGACAAAGAGGTATACTCACTAGATCAAAGGCATTACATCAAAGGCATACCCACTAGATCACAAAATACAGAAAACCTGAGAATAAAAAGTTATAGCACAAAACTATAAAATTCAGAGTAGCAAGCAAATGAGGAACACCCACCCCTAGAAGTGGTTTATATTTTCTATAAACTGCAGGGGTTTATTTTTATGTAACACACTTATGGCCAAGGCATTTTTTATGGCTCTCCATGTCTAATTTAGACTTCTGGAAAAGGTGAGGATAGTTTCAGTTCACAAAAAAAGAATACACTTCTTTTTCAAAAGCAATTTAACCAATCTTCTATTTAATGGTCCACAGAGCAACTGATACTTTGCTCTGTAAAACTGAGAACACACTCAACAAAAGGTATTCTATCACCCCTCCAACACATAAGCAAGAGATAAAATATTTTCACTTAGTATGTTAAGACCCCTAGTGCGAATCAACAGACTAAGACAGCAATCTCATGTTAGCTTTCAGTTGAAAGCAAAAATTACAGAGCCATGTGTTAAGGCTTGAACCCTAGTTTTAGGCATCACCTATAAAATTAGAATAAATGTGTAGCTAAAAGGTCATGTGCTTTAAAGTTTCAGCATTTGGCTCAGCACCCATAGCACAGTAGTTACGGCACCAAGCACATATACCAAGTTTGATGGGTTCTAAGCCAGCCTGAGCCAACTAAAACAACAATGACAACTGCAACAAAAAACCAGCCAGGTGTTGTGGCGGGCGCCTATAGTCCTAGCTACTTGGGAGGCTTAAGCACGAGAATCGCTTAAGCCCAAGAGTTTGAGGCTGCTGTGAACTGTGATGCCACAGCCCTCTACTGAGGGCAACACAGTGAGACTCTGTCTCAAAAAAATAAATAAAATAAAAGTTTCAGCATTCATCAAGGTAGCCAGGACTAATACTGTTATGTTACTGTTAACCACCTATTATGCCCTTTAAGCAAAAGAAAAATGCTTAAAGCTAAGAAAGAGTGCAACAAGCTCAAATGACAGAGGGCTTAGTGACAGATCTTTTCTCCCCCCTTAATTGATAGACCTGCTAAGCAGTACTGTAGTTGTTTTGTTCATTCTCCCTCCTTCATCATTTCTCTTCAATTGAGCATGATGAACCCTGGCTATCTATCCCTATATTCTCATCCACAAATTGAAATTCTAGATTACAATCTCAGTGTGTGCTGGTTTCAAATTTAGAGAACAAGCCCACATTTTGTTTGACCCTTCCTTTACCCTAATAATTCTTATGGAAACAGAAAGTTAACTGTTTTTATATGAACCTAAGAAAATCTTAGGATTCTCACAAGAAATACCTAGTTACCCATTTAGTCTACCTATGCTGTTCTGTTTCTTTGTGTCCATACTCTGTTGACTCCAGATTCTATTAATAAGCTTCTCTGTCCCATCCTGGCACTAAGAAATCAAAGCAATCAAAAAAGCATACAGTGGGCCCTCCATATCCATGAAGGAATGGTTCCAGTATCCCTGCACTACAGATACCAATCCACAGATGCTCAAGTCCCTTATATGAAATGGTTTACTCCAGTCTATCCTCTGTATCCACAGGTTTGTATCTGTTTAGTTTCAACTTTGAATCTTAAACCTGCACATATGTAAGGCTGACTGTACTTACTATTACACACAATGACCAAGTCCATCATAGCAATTAAAAATCAATACCACCAACAAAAATTCAAAACAAATCTATGCATCTCTTCATTCAAAGGGGCACTCCAATAAGCACATATTAGCAAATCTACATGGGACTATAAAATCCTATAGTTTTGACATGGCTCAAAACTATGCTCTAATTTGTCATCTGCTTATAATATGTACATACAGTATCTACAATGAAACACAAAGTTTTAAATACTTACATGAATATGACTCAAAAACCTGTTGGAGGGAGTCAAGCATTACACATATTTAAGTACTCACTTGCTCCAATTTAAAGATATGCTGGTTAAAGTAGTGCTGTAAACGTTCATTAGCAAAATTAATACAAAACTGTTCAAAGCTGTTATTTTCATAATCTTCAAACCCAAAAATATCCAGAACACCAATGGACAAAGTCTACAAAACAAGAGAAAATTAAGATTAAAAAATGATGCTAAAATATACGTTATGAATAATATCTACAATATAACTAACAAAATGTTCAAGTCCTCTATAGCAATGGAGAGGGGATTGTGTGGGGTCAGTATTCAACCAAAATAAACCATCAATTACAAGTATTTTAGTTTTCTGAAACAGTAGAGGTTGTATGATTCTATTTATATTTTAAAAAGTCACTCCCAATATACACATCTTCAGAAAGTAAATACATAGGAAAAAAAGATCTAGAAAGACAGAAGAATTCCTCTAAAGAGGGTAATGAATAACAAAACTAAAAGTCATTCAACTTGGTACTCCACACAGTTTTGTTTTTAAATTTCATATATTAACCAGTTTATTAAACAGTTTTCAAGGGAACATATATTATAATCCAATGTACCTTGGTTTCATGCTCCAAATCTTTACTATTCAAAAGTGCATGATTAATGCGAAAAACTATCCAGTCAAATAGGGCACTATACAGAGATTTAGCCATGGAGTTTCTCACTGTCACAGCCTGAAAAACAAGAAAAGGGTTAGGAGTAAAAATGGAATTAACAATGATATGATTGGGATACTGCAACAAAGTGTGTCTTGCTCTCACTCAACAAAGAAAACTTAGTATCCTGAATTAGAAACTAGCTTTTCTCTCAACAATAATAACCTGTAATTGAATTTTTTCTACATGTACTCAGTAATTTAGTCCAACTCAGAGAATCTAGGCTAAAACTGCCATGAACAATAAGAGAAACAAAATATAGGTCACTCAGTCAAAAACATTTTTACTAAAAACTGGAGTATGTATTTCCTCTAGGAAAGAAGAAACACACATAATTAAAAGTTTACAAACAAATGACTCTGCCAGCTAAAATAAGGAAGGGTGTTCTAGGTAGAGGAATAAATCTGTTAACAAAAAGGCATTAGTATTTGTGGAATCGTAATCATACTCTTAAAACATACATATAATACAACCACCCTTACATTCCTAGCTATCTTCAGCTTGTCATCCATAGGAACCTGTAGAATTACTCCATCCCCAGAGAATGTAACAATTCCTTCATGATGCAGTTACAAAATTTATTTTGCGCCTCACTTCAAGCTTTCTCCAGTTCATGATAATTCTCTGTACTATCCATCTGCTCAATTTTACCCTATGTCTGAAACTATTCTAAAAAAATGAAGTCTATTAATTAAAGAAATTCAAAATTTGTAAAGCACTTCAATTTACAAAAAAAAAAATCACATAAATTGAGTCCTGGCACTTAGAAGAATACAAATCCTAAACATTTGTATAGGGGGTTTCTGTACCTTGTATATTCAAGGTACATATTTATCCCTCAAGTGTAGAGAAAATAGAGAGTAACGATTAGGAGCTAGACTATCTAACTGATCCCAGTTTTTCTACTTATTTTAACTGTGTAACCGTGATCAAGTTACTTAAAGTAGGCTATAGGTTATACATCTATAAACTGGAGATAATACTATGACCTAGCAGATAGGTAAATGAGTAAATTTCTGACTATCAAGTGGAGGAAAAAAAGCTTCATATTTTTGGATCAAAAAATAAATGTCTTCATAGGAAAGAAAAGACTGATATCAAATTCCCCATCTTCAACATCAGAAGCATGAAAATAAACGGAAGGTGTTCATACAGTTCTGAGAGAAAAAGGAATATGACTCTAAAATTCTACCCTTAGGCTTAACAAAGTACAATTATCCTTCAGTATGATTGTGGGGGGATTATTGCCAGGATCTACCTAGGATACCAAAATCCAAGGATGTTCAAGTCCTTCTATTAAATGGCATCATATTTGCATATCACTTACACACAATCTCATACTTAAAACTATCTCTAGGTTACTTATAATACCTGATACAAAGTAAATGCTATGTAAATAGTTGTTATACTATATTTCTATTAGTATTATTTTTTGTATTTGTATTGTTTTTTATTTATTGCCCTCAAAAATATTTTTAATCCATGGTTGAATTCTCAGATGTGAAGGACCAACTATCAAGAAAACTAACAGTAAATTAGTATACATAATATGATACTATTCCATTTCTCCCCAGAAAGAAAAAACAAAGAAGATAATCTGATCAAATTCAACAAAAGTAAAATATTTTAAAACCAAATAAATAAGCATAAGACAAAATAAGCATAAACACATTAGCCATCACAATAAATTTTATAAATGGATTGTATTTTTAGTTAAAAGACAGACTTTCAGACTAAGATAAAAACTAAAGCCTACTTACCACATTTATGGTTTATATGATGCTCCATTTTTATAGAATACAATAGCCACATAGAATCCAGATATACCAATGTAATACTTACTTACTCTATAACTCCCAATTTTATATTCTTACCTCTTTTCTCTGAAATATAGTCTTGCCTATCATAGCTTAATTTCAGTAAATTCAAGAACCAAGTAGTATTTTCCCACCCAAACAAGATCTCATTTAGTATTTACTATCTCACTGAAGGGTACAATTATTCTTATAGTTGTATAAACCAGAAACTTAAGACTTATCCTTGACATCTCTTGTTCTTCCCTGCCTCTTCATTATTCGAGTCAACTACTAGGGCTTATTGATTTAATTTCTAATTTTCTTTCTTTTTAAATCAATATATTTCTCCATATTAGTATGTCGCCATTCTAGACAAAGCAAACATTTTTCTCCTTACTACTACAGCCTCAGAACTCATCTGTCTATAGCCACTCTTACCTTCTATGTTAGACAGAATCCTAAAATGTTCCCCAAGATTCCCATCCCCTGGAGTACATGTTCTGTATAATCTCCTTCCCATAAGTGCAAGCAGAACTCCCATAATTAGCTTAAGTTACATGATAAAGGTAAAGGAATTTTAAAGATATAAAGGGCCAAATAAATTGATTTATTAGTCAATCAAAGTGATATCATCCTGGGGGGCCTGAATTAATCACAGAACACTCTCATATGCTATCAGAGATTGTCCTGTTGGTTTTGAAAAAGCAAACTGCCATGTTGTATGCAGGGCCACATGGCAAGAAATAGCATATGCCTTTAGTTGCTGAGAATGGCCCCTGAGTACACTGACAGCCAACAACAAAAAAATTACATACTCCAGTCCTACAACCACAAGGAAATGAATCTTGTCAACAACCTGTGAACTTGAAAGAGAACCACGATCATCAAACAAGATCATAGCCCTAATGGATGCCTTGAATTCATCCTGCTAAGACCCTGAGCAGAGAATACAACCTATCTGTGTCCAGACTCATGAACCACGGAAACCGTTAAGATAATAAATCTGTGTTGTATTAAGTTGCTAAATGTATTACATAGCTGTAATGATTCTCCACACTGTTGCCAGAATGTTCCTTTAAAAACAAAAATCTAAGAAACCTTTTTTGTTTAAAACACTTTAAGACCTTCCCATTTCTCTTCAGAAAAAATATTAAAACCTTTAAGGACTGCCACTTATAATACCCATAGTGCCTTTTACATTTCTGAGCACAAAAAGAGGGTTTTCAAAAATCTACTGAACAAATAAATACACCAAACAAATACAAACAAAGGATAAAAAAATAATTTCAGAAAGGTGAATGTAAAGTTAAAAATGCACAAAAACTAAAAAAAAAATTTATGAAAAATATTGTAAAAGAAACACAAAAGCACTGAATCTTTATACTAAAGAAAGGCAAAAAAATTCTTAACAATCTGGCTTTTTCTTTCTTTTCTTTTTTTTTTTTTTGAGACAGAGCCTCAAGCTGTCACCCTGGGTAGAGTGCTGTGGCATCACAGCTCACAGCAACCTCCAGCTCCTGGGCACAAGTGATTCTCCTGCCTCTGCCTCCCAAGTAACTGGGACTATAGGCACCCACCACAACGCCCAGCTATTTTTGGTCACAGCCGTCATGGCTGTTTGGCAGACCCAGGCTGGGTTCGAACCCCTCAGCTCAGGTGTATTGTGGCTGGCGCCTTGGCCACTTGAGGCACAGCCCTGAGCCAACACTCTGGCTTTCTCATTGTTTAGAAAGGAGCTTTTAAAGTGAGGGACTAGAAACTAAACCCACATCTTTCACCATTAACTAAGATAGACTCTCATTGGATTAAAGATTTAAACTTAAGACATGAAACTATGAAAATACTAGAAGAAAGTGTAGGGAAAACACTCGAAGAAATCGGCCTGGGCGAAAATTTTATGAGAAGGACCCCCTCGGGCAATTGAAGCAATGTCAAAAACACACTTTTGGGACCGGATCAAATTAAAAAGTTTCTGCACAGCCAAGAACACAGTAAATAAAGCGGGTAGACAGCCCTCAGAATGGGAGAAGATATTTGCTGGTTATGTCTCTAACAAAGGTTTAATGACCAGAATCCACAGAGAACTCAAACGTATTAGCAAGAAAAAAACAAGCGATCCCATCTCAGGGTGGGCAAGGGACTTGAAGAGAAATTTCTCTAAAGAAGAGAGGCACATGGCCTACAGATAGATGAAAAAATGCTCTCCATCCTTAATCATCAGAGAAATGCAAATCAAAACTACTTTGAGGTACCACCTAACCCCAGTGAGATTAGCCCATATCACAAAATCCTAAAACCAGAGATGTTGGCGTGGATGTGGAGAAAAGGGAACACTGCTACACTGCCTGTGGGAATGCAAATTAATTCGTTCCTTTTGGAAAGACATCTGGAGAACACTGAGAGAACTAAAAATAGACCTGCCATTTGATCCTGCAATTCCTTTATTAGGTATATATCCAGAAGACCAAAAATCGAATTACAACAAAGATATTTGTATCAGAATGTTTATTGCATCCCAATACATAATTGCTAAGTTATGGAAGAAACTCAAATGCCCATCGACCCACAAATGGATCAATAAATTGTGGTACATGTACACCATGGAGTACTATGCAGTCCCAAAGAAGGATGGAGGCTTTACCTCCTTCATGTTTATATGGATGGAATTGGAAAATGTTCTTCTTAGCAAAGTATCTCAGGAATGGAAGAAAAAGTATCCAGTGTACACAGCCCTATTTTGAAACTAATTCATAGCTTTTATAGGAATGTCATAACCTACTTATAGCCTTAGAATATGGGAAGGGGGGTGGAGGGTGAGGTAAGGGGGGGTGGATGGGGAGAGGGAGGGAGATTGGTGGGGTCACCTCTATGGTTTATCTTACAAGGGTACAAGTGAATCTTTCTAAAAGCAGAATATGAACGTTTTAACTCAATAACTAACACAATGACATGAAAGTCATCTTGACCAGTTTGATGAGAGTATTCCAAAATGTACGTGAAAACAGCACACTGTACCCCATGATTGCATTAATGTACACAGTTATGCTATAAGAAATAAAAAAAAACTAAAAGAAAAAAAAAATAAAGTGAGGGACTATAAAATACAACTTAAGAAATCTGGACTTAGAGACACAGATAGGACAGAACAAAGGAGTGGGATAAATGGATCAAAGTCAACCTAAAAAACTTCTCTAGAATTCAATCACAATTTCCTCACCCTCTGTGTCTTCTAATCTGCTGACCTCATATTCCTGTCTCATTTTTATAATAATCATCATAGTTTGATTTGTCATTGCTTTCATAAAATGATTCCATAAAATAGTGTCTTCTCAATAATTTTCTGATTTCTGTACATATGAGTAGCACACTAATGACCAACAAATCTCTACCTGGGATCCTCAGTATACACATGGTATTTTAAAGCCACGGGATTGAGTGAAATAAACTAAATAAAGAAGATAGAAAAACTAAGACTGTGTCCTAGAGCACCCCATCTTTTAGAGGTCAAGAAGAAAAGAAAAAGCAAGCAAAGAGAATTGTAAAGGAATGGCCAACAATGAAAAAGTAAACCAGAAAAGTACAATGTGTTAGAAGATGACTGAATAAGACTGTCCCAAGAAAGAATGATCAATTGGGCCAAATATGACTCATTTCTAATTCTACTTAACATCTTTCCACCCCATATTACCAATATGAAACTTAAGAATAGTGAAGAGGTTAAGGTCCTTGGAGAAAAAATACAAGTCGACTGCTCATAATCACATTCAAGTTTAAGATTCCACGTTGATGAAAAATCCACAAACTTCAAAGAACCAGAAAATATTTCAATTAATACTTTTTGTTGCTGTCATTTTAAATTTAAGAGAAAAAGCAAAAATCCAAACTTCTGAAAATGTTCAGGATGCTTTAATTTCAAAGAAAATCTATCATACCTCGGCAAGCTTGTATGGTAAAATAAGCTTTTCTCCCACTGTCACTGTCTTTCTCGTAACCAATGCTTCAAATAGCATCTCTTCTTTAACCTATAAAGCAGAAAAGTAAATTCAATATATATAGTTAATGACAATGGGTTAAAGAGAAAAAAACTTAATGAGATTAACAAATATATTAGTAGAGAAAAAGATAACAAAAAATACACTTGGCAATTTTAATACTGGCCAAAGTGAAACTTAAGTGTCCCATTTCCTACATCCCCCGCCTTAAAAAAGAAAGAAAATAGAAGGTAAATAAGTCTTTTATTTTTAATTAAAATTTGTTTTCTGATAAGGAATAGAGAAACATGTTTCACTGTACAAAATATAGAACAGTTAAAAAAAAATGTTTTAAGATGATCACCCATAATCCCACAACCTGAAGACAAGAACTAAAAACTGACAGCATTTCTTGAATTCCAGGAACATTCCAATACATACTTAAATTTATGTTTCATATATTTATTTTTTATTTTTATTTTTTTGAGATGGAGTCTTACTCTGTTACCCTGGGTAGAGTGTCGTGGTATCATAGTTCACAGCAATCTCAAACTTCTGGCTCAAGCAATCCTCTTGCCTCAGCCACTTGAGTCGCTGGGACTACAGATGCCAACCACAATGCCCAGTTATTGTATGTTCATTTTTATCATGATTAATTAATTTTAAGACAAAGTTGACACTACCACTAGCATAATTTATGACAGACCAATATTGTTTTAAAGAACAATTTTGAACCATATTGAACAGTAAATATCTAGCAAATATTAATACCTTTTTTCAGAGCATTCACTGCTCATTTTGTCAATTTCCAGAAACAAGAAATAATTTGAAGTACATTGCCTTCACAAAACGTAGTAAAACTAAAAATGAAAACCCAAATTTAAGTACAAATCCTCACTCTTTTAGGTATATTTAAAATAGAAATACTTTGAACAGGCTGTGCCTGTGGCTCAGTGAGTAGGGTGCCAGCCCCATATACCAAGGGTGGAAGGTTCAAACTTGGCTCCAGGCAAACTGCAACAAAAAATATCCAGGCCTTGTGGCAGATGCCTGTAATCCCAGCTACTAGGAAGGCTGAGGCAAGAGAATCGCCTAAACCCAAGAGCTGGAGGTTGCTGTGAGCTATGACATCACAGCACTCTATCAAGGGCGATAAAGTGAGACCCTGTCTCAAAAATAAAAAATAAAAATAAATAAAATACTTTGAGAAACAAAACAATCAGATTACACAAAAATGATAAAACTAAGAAAGTTACGAAGAAATGTGATTAAAAAATAAAGTTATATTTTGAGCTATATCTCTGCTATTATTAAAAGTGAACATTTAAAAATGATCTAATGGGCAGTGCCTGTGGCTCAAAGGAGTAGAATGCTGTCCCCATATGCTGGAGGTGGCAGGTTCAAACCCAGCCCCGGCCAAAAACTGCCAAAATAAATAAATAAATAAAAATAATCTAGTTGTAGACTCAAGAAATTTTTTTTTTTTTTTTTTTTTGAGACAGAGCCTCAAGCTGTCCCCCTGGGCAGAGTGCCGTGGCATTACAGCTCACAGCAACCTCCAACTCCTGGGCTCAAGCGAGTCTCCTGCCTCCGCCTCCCAAGTAGCTGGGACCACAGGCGCCCGCCACAACGCCCGGCTATTTTTTGGTTGCAGCCGTCATTGTTGTTTGGCGGGTCCGGGCTGGGGATTCGAACCCGCCACCTTAGGTGTACGTGGCTGGTGCCCTAGCCGGTTGAGCCATAGGCGCTGAGCCGACTCAAGAAATTTTTTAAAAGAAACAAACAAAAGTAAGCAAGCAACAAGGAGCAAAGGTCACTTCCATACACATTAAGGGGAGAGCATAAACTGGTACAACCACTTTGGAGATTTATTTGTCATCATTAGTTAAGCTCAGTTTGTCTACATACTATAATCCAAAATTCTACTCCTTTGACTGTACCCTAGAATAATTCTCACACATGTTAACAAGGGGACATGTACAATAATGGCTATCACAGGACTAACTATAAACAGAAAATTATAAACAACTTCAAGGCCCACTAATAGGAAAAAAGATAATTTTGTTTCATTCACAGAATGGAATAAGTATTAAATACTGATTTAATACTCTAGGTGCTTCTTGAGTAGACTCAAGAAATTTTTTAAAAGAAACAAACAAAAGTAAGCAAGCAACAAGGAGCAATTAAAAAGAAGCACCTAGAGTATTAAATCAGTACTGAAAAACTATAAAAACTGGCCAGACACAGTGGCTCTCATGGCTGTAACCTTAGCATTTTTGGAAGCCAGGTGGGAGGGTCACTTGAGGCCAGGAGTTCAAGACCAGCCTGGGCAACACAGAGAAATATAGAGACAGTGTTTCTACAAAATAATTTTAGCAACTTGTCCAGACATGATGGTTGTACATCTGTAGTCCCAGCTATCTAGGATGCTGAGGTAGGAGGACTGCTTTGAACCCAGGAGTTCAAGCTTGCAATGAACTATGATTGTGCCACTGCACTATAAATTGGGTAATACAGCAAAACTGTCTTTAAAAAAAAAAGGAAAAAAGAAAAATCTCAAAAATATAAAATGAAAAAAGAAGTTTCAGAATGATACATACAGTGTAACATTAATATAAATTCTGAAAACATACAAACAAAACTATTCTTTATGGAAACATCTGTCTATACCAAAATGATAAACACAAAATTCACAGAACTGGTTAACTTTGTTACCTCTGTTAGGCACAAGGTATTACACAGAAAGCTTCAAATATATGTAACATTGTATTCTATGTAATGTTGAGTGCTGGAAACATTTCATAACTGGGGGGAAACGCTGAAACAAATTAGCATGTAGTAAGTAAAATGGCAGAACTGATAAATCTAATAATTGTTTCTGATAATTGTTTCCAATTATTTGAAAACATGAAATGAAAAGATAAATCTCACACAAATCAAAAGAAAAAAAATCAGAAACACAAATAGAAAACTAATACTATAGAGAAAATATTTTAAAAAATTAAATTGGCCAGGCATGGTGGCTCACTTCTATAATCCCAACACTCTGGGAGGGCAAGGCAGGAGGATTGCTTAAGCTCAGGAATTCAAGACTAGCCAGAACAGGAGTGAGACCCTGTCTCCACTAAAAATAGAAAAATTGCCCAAGAGTCATGGCTGGCATCAGGAGGCTGAGGCAAGAGGATTGCCATGGCATCATAGATCACAGCAGCCTCAAACTCTTGGGCTTGAGCACTATCTCACAACAAAATATCCTCCACAATTGCCTACAATTAATCTACTGGAACTTTTTCATCTTTCAATAATTTAGTAAGTATATATCCCAAATAAACTTTAGTAAACAAAAGAATCAGAACATTCACTTTTGACTAAGGCAACTAAAAAAAAAAAAAAAAAAAAAACCTGAAAAAAATTAATAAAATTAACTATTTTAAACATTTTTCTTAAAAATACATCTACATTTATCATTGAATTAAATCCTACTGGGAAGGAGGGCAATTAAATTGAATCTTAACTAGAGTTTAAGTTTTAACTAAACTAGTCATTGTGCCCATCTTCATATTTTATCTCAACCAAAGTCTTAAGGTGGCAAATATTATTATCAATCTTAACCAACTAGAAGCAATCATTTTTTAAAATAATTTCTAAGGACTAATTATAGGCAGGATACCATGGCAGGTGTCTTCTCTAGCTCCTGAACTTTGAAGCTGTTTTCTTTCTATGTAATACTAAAACTTAGTCCTAGAGCCAGTGTGAGATTCACTATCAAATCACATTCGTCACTGCTCTAACTCTGACAGTGGTAAGCATAATTCTCACAATTGGTTTTCTCCCTTTTTCTTTTTTAAACCAATACCGCAGATCTACTTTGAATTACCCTAATGGCTCCTATCAGTCTCTTAAGTAAGGAATACTGCACTAGACCCATAACCCTTGGCACTTGCTGAAGCTTGGACTTATATATATAAGATCCCTTGGACTTATACATAAGACCGCTAGTCATAATTCCCAGTATTAGAATACCAAATGCTTGATTAAAATATTACCTGAACTCAGGAGGCTAAAGAATCGCCTGAGCCCAAGCCTTTGAGTTTGCTTTGAGCTACAATGCCACAGCACTCTACCAAGAGTGACCAAGTGAGACTCCGTCTCAAAATTAATAATAATAACTAAATTAAATTAAATATCACCTGAAATACCTAACTGAAATACTATCTGACCTTTATGATCTCCAAAATTACAACCTGCAGAGACTACACTCTACCTCCTGGCAGAACTTTTGTTCTAATGACAGTCTGGTTGCAACTGAAGGTACCCTCTTCTTCTGCCCCTTCTTCCAGGCAAGAGAATTGCCATGGCATCATAGCTCACAGAAGGCTCAAACTCTTTTTAAAAAGTTAAAAAGCAATGCCTAATCATGTATAGAAAAAATAAACAGTGTGAGGTTAGGCATCCATCACTCTCACAGAGCACTTCGGCCTTATAATGGACACAAACTAGTAAATAATTAACTCTATGCTACAAAACCAAAACTAAATTATGCTAAGTAGAAGCAAAGGCTCTGTGCTTAGAAAGTCTATTTAGACCACTTAAGATTAAATCTCATAAAGTGGCACACAAAACAAGATTTGAAAGATGAGTAATATTTTAATAGCAAGCTATTCATAACTGCCATAAGATGGAAACAACCAAAATGTCCTTCAATAGGTAAATAGATGTATTCTTATAGTTTATAACTAGTGATTTAAAAAATGAGCTATCAAGCAACAGAAAGACACAATTAAATCTTAAATGCGAAATGAATCAGTTGAAATGGCTACATACTGTATGTATGTTTCCAATTACATTACATGCTTTATACAGCCAGTAAAAAGATCAGTGGTTACAGTTTGAACAGTTAAAGCACAGAGGATTTTTAGGGTAGTGAAACCACTTTATATGATACTGTAATGGTAACACAACTTCATGCATGTGTCAAAACTCAAACAGCACAAAGAATAAACCTTAATATATGCAAATTAAAAAACTATGTAAGGGATTAGAGGATTCCAAGAAGGAATGTAGACCATGAAAATAGAGCTTAACTGTATGACAAATATATAAAACAATTTCAATGAAAGGGGTGAAAGGAAAAGGTGCTGATTCAAATGACTATAGAAATGAGTAAAGTAGGTAGGACTAAAGGCAAAGAGAATTACACATAAGCACTGTAGTCTAGTTGATAAAGTCATTGCCCACAGGGGTACAGGTTAACAATTGACAGGCTGTCCCCTAGTTACAAACATACAACTTAAGTACAACTTGCACTTATGAATGGAGGCTATTTTTTTTTTTTTTTTGAGACAGAGTCTCAAGCTGTCACGCTGGGCAGAGTGCCATGGCGTCACAGCTCACAGCAACCTCAAACTCTTGGGCTTAAGTGATTCTTATGCCTCAGCCTCCCAAGTACCTGGGACTACAGGCCCTACCACAACACCTGGCTATGTTTGTTGTTGTTGTTGTTATTGTTTTTGCAGATGTCATTGTTGTTTTAGCTGGCTCGGCCCAGTTCAAACCCACCAGCCCCAGTGTATGTGGCCAGCACTCTACCCATTGAGCTACAGGCATTGTCCAATGAATGGAGGCTATTATAGTAAGACCTTGTGTTACAAACGTCTGACTGACATACAACTTTCACTTACAAATGGAGGCTATTACAGGTAATTGTACCTGTTCCAACTTATATACAAATTCAACTTAAGAACAAATGTACAGAACCTATCTTGTTTGTAAACCAGGGACTGTCTGTGCTAAGCATGAATACTAGAATTGAGCGATTAAGTAAATGGATAGCAGAGGGTGGGAGACAGGTTTATCACTGTTGAAGTGAGAGGTACCAATACACAAAGGGAGAAGGCTAAAATGATCAATGTCGGAATGGATTCGAGTTAGAAACATCTGTCTGAACTCATGTTAAGCTTTATATATTTATTAGAGACAGTTATACACAGAAATATTTTTATATATGTGTCAATACACAGATTAGTATATACACATGTATTTCCTTATTCTGACAGATAAGAGGGCCTAGGAGAAATGACACCCCATCTGAAGGAATGAATTTGGCAAGATGAAAAAGTGGCTGAGAAAACATGAGAAATCATCACTCCAGGAAGAAAGAATAAGGTAATAAAAACCATGATGTGGTAACAGGCACGGTAAATGATAACCTTTCAGCCCTATTCAACCCACGAAGAAGAAAAAGTAGGACCTTTTTCTCCACCCACCCACATACCTCATCTCCAAAAAAAAAAATTGAACCAAAATCTTAGTAAAGAAGAAATTGCAAATATGTAAAGAGAAAAGTTAGCATAGACCCAGAACATCACATAGCATAGGGTAGAAATGAGAGATTATAGAAATCTGGGGCAAGTACAGGCAGGGGAGAAAATTCAAATCTTCTGAAGATTCTGGGAGAGAGAGACAGGTAATCATCTTTTGGAAAACACTTTACAAATAGTGTTTAATAAAAAATTATTACTAAAATGCATTAGCCCATTTATACCTACAAAATAGTTACACAAAATAACAATAAGAAGATACCCAGTATTGGAAATGACAACTGAGAATGTAATCACTCACTTCTAATAATTCTGAGACAATAGGCAAAACTTCAGGATTGCAGATATCAATAGAGTCATCCCGGTATGTCTTCTTTTTATAACAAATATTACCCAAATGTAGTATTGCTGAGAGAAGAGAGAAAATCCTGTGAAAATAAAACCACAAGTTACAGCTTGCTTGTGTGCATTCTCAAAGTACATTTCATCCTAATATTCTAATTAAGCAAATTCACCTGCACAAATATGGAGTATTTAGCCTTTGGGAAAAAAAGAGAAATACGGAAATAAATAAAATTTACTAAGTGTTGGGCGGCACCTGTGGCTCAAGGTGTAGGGCGCCGGCCCCATATACCGGGGTGGCAGGTTCAAGCCCAGCCCCAGCCACAACTGCAAAAAAAAATTTACTAAGTATTTACTATATGCCAGGTACTGCACAAAGTACTTTACATGATGTTCAAGTATTATACCATTTGCTAAACACACAGTGTCCCAATCATAGGAAAATTAACAAACTCATATATTTTATATTATATTGTTTTTTGGGGTTTGGGGGGGGTTTTTTGGCAGTTTTTGGCTGGGGGCACCTCCAGTACATGAGGCCGGTGCCCCACTCCTTTGAACCACAGGCACTGCCCTGGATTTTATATTTTTTATATTTATAAATCAACACATAGAGAAACACTTTGTAGAATTCTGTATTGAGTATTTTGTAAATAAAAGTACAGTTAGCTGCAAGTTCCCATTTTCACTATTTATGTATGGCGACCTTTGGAACACTCTAGTTATTTCAAGGGGACTGCCATGGTGATTTTAAAAAGTTGATGCCTTTCTAAAGACTATTCATCCTTCCTAGAGTGTCTTTCTTGGTATTAACTACTTCAGATACAGTGAATCAGAATCTCCAAAAGTCTTAAAATATGTATTTTTTATTAAGTATCCTAGGTGATTTTTTCTATTAATTATAATGTAAAAAAATGCTTTCCTATATCATATTATAGTATCATTAGTAAATGCTTTAAAAAAAAAAAAAACTATGATGCTAGAGGGGAATATTGTCTAGTCTCAGGCCCTTACTGTGAAAGGCCTTCAACTGGACCCTCCATTCTTGACTTCCCTCCTGAATCAAAAGGAACACGTGCCCTCCAGTTAACAATTTATCCTTCCGCTTATGCTCTGCATCTCATCAACTCCTATTAACTCAAAAACAGTTAGGTTACCAAGGGTCTCCATCCAGCTAAGAACAGTATATATATACTATGTAACTTATCTGACATCTCAGAGGCATTTAATACGCTCCATCCAAAAGCCCTTCCTGCATCGCCTTATACACAAACATCTCCAGGCCTTGTTCAGTTATTTCCTTAGGATAAATTTGGTGAAAATGTAACATGTTTTCCTAAAATGAGGAAGCATTCTAAATAAAATGATCTTGTTTTAAGAATCTGACATACTTTAAGAGGCACTGAATCATCATCTAATTTATGTCTAAATCTTCAAAAAGTTAAAAATTTTAAATGTTTAAATCATCCTCATAACTCAAAGGAAATATAAGTCTACTATAAAGGAATAATTCATAAAATTATTCTCAGTTAAATTAAGGAATGAACTAACTCCATTATCAACTGAAACATAAAAGCTAATGGAACTTAAAAGATAACACAAATTTCTGAACCACTTTTCAAAAACTATTTTTAGTACAGGCGAGACACAGTGGCTCATGACTGGTAATCCTAGCAAGCACTTTGGGAGGTGGAGGTTAGAGGATCACTTGAAACCAAGAGTTTGAGACCAGCCTGAGGAACATAGCGAGACCTTGTCTCTACAAAATAAAATAAAATAAATTTCTTTTCTTTTTTTTTTTTTTTGAGACAGAGTCTCAAGCTGTCACCCTGGTTAGAATACCATGATGTCAGAGGTGATAGCAACCTCAAATTCTTGGGCTTAAGCAATTCTCTTGCCCAGCCTCCCACACAGCTGGAACTACAGGTGCCTACCACAATGCCCCGCTATTTTTTTTGTTACAATTATCATTGTTGTTTTAGCTGGCCCAGGCAGGGTTCAAACCTGCCAGCTTCAGTGTATGTGACTGGTGCCCTACCCACTGAGTTCCAGGTGCAACCAATAAATTTTTTTAATAGCCTATTGTTAGTTTATATGGTTGCTAATTACACTGTTTCAATTATTTTGGATTCAATAATCATCATATTAATGCTCTGATATACGAATATGTGATGCATAGTCTCCAGCAATAAATGTTATAATGACAATCTAACATACTATAAATCAATATTTTAAAAATTTGAAAACGTGAATAAGAATCCTTATTCTCAAAAAGCTTATAATCCAGGCAGCACCTGTGACTCAGTGGGTAGGGCATCAGCCCCATATACCAAGAGTGGCTGGGTCAAACCCAGACTCAGCCAAATTGCAACAAAAAAAATAGCCAGGTGTTGTTGCGCGCACCTGTAGTCCCAGCTACTCAGGAGACAAGAGAATCGCCTAAGCCCAAATTGGAAACTGCTGTGAACTGTGTAATGCCACAGCACTCTACCAAGAGCGATAAAGTGAGACTCTGTTTTTACAAAAAAAAAAAAAAGCTTATAATCTTGTATTAGGAGGTAACAATAAAGCAATAACTATATTAAAGGGCATGATATCTTAAAATACAAAGGCAGAAACAAAACACAGTAAAGAAAAAGTTCATTAAAAAGGGAGGAAATGAATAGCACTCTGAAGACACTGGTTTTAAATTCATATACCAAATTTAAGGCTGACTACAAGGTTATATTAAGAGAGATCTCAGGTAAACCTGTGTACCATACAAAAGAATGCTGTAATTTATTAGCAGAGTTTATAATGGTCACAGGAAACAGGAGTGGCAGCACACGTGGTATGTTCTAGATCCAAAAAATTGAGAATATTTTAGTAAGTGGACAAGAGACAAAGATCATTCCAAATAAGGAAAACTGTTCCACATACAACATAATGTTTTGGAGAACAGGACCAGCCTAAATAAAAATGCAAAATTTGTGTTAAGGAATATAAAGATAACATTTAAAAGATAGGGAAGGGCCAAATTCAAGGCCAGGCTAGGAACATATTATTTCCGGTCACTTCCAATATGGAATTTAATCATATCAAAAAGCATAAAGGACAATTCCTTATTGTTTGAGAAATGAATATTACATTTCCAACTTGTTACCTAATTTCACTATTATTTAACATACAGATTTACACTTCATTCAGTCCATGTGTCAACCAGGTAGGTGTCACATGCAGTAAATGAGGTATCCTCAACAGAGAGTAGAAGTAATACAGTATAAGGGCAATTGAGAGGGGTAACCTAATTATCTTCCAGTGAATTGTAGTTTATGTAGTCAACTGAATGGGTCTGCATATGTATATACTGTACTATTTGATTTTAATTAAATTCTCATAAGAAGATTCTAGCAAAGAACCTGCTGACTGAAGAGGCATTCCAATGAGGTAAGCATGAACAAATAAGAAAATAGCAGAGCTAATATTCTCCTACTCACAGTATGAGCTCATTATTCATGAGATTAAAGTTAACAACATAATCAGATCTTACACATTCATCAACACTAATTCCACGCTCAAAAAACAGTTGTAAGTCATAACCATTTTTTTTGATAAGAGGCAAATTATACTTTTATTAAAATTGTTTTATTTTAAATATAATTTATTTCATCTTCATCTAAACTTTTTACATTTCTAATTTGTTATATAGTGAACAAAATTATGTTTAAAATAATAGTGTAGACATAAATATACAGAGGAAATACACAGAAAGTTGTTTTACTGATAGGTATGCATGACTTAATATATATATTAGCAATCACTGATACAGAAAACGAGGGGCTTTAATAGTGTTATGAAGCAACAGTTTTTAAGGTAAGGTTTCAGGGACACCATGAATTCCTACAACTACATGCAAATTTTTATGGATTTACATTTTATAAGAAGAGTTCCAGATTTCATCAGATTCTCAAAGAATTTACAGGAAAAAAAGAAATTCAAAACAGTGCCTAAGATAGATGAGTACTAGATCAGGAATATGAGTTTGAGGATTGTTTAATAGCAACAAGGGAGAGAAATCATTCAAAGATATATCATTTGTTCTCTATGGGGGGTATAAGAATAAAATAAACTCACTGTCTTCGTGTCTTGGGAAGAAATCCCACCATTTCCATGGCCAATTGCAAGCGTTCAAAGTCATGCCTCAAATCCTCTCCCTCCACTGTGAAGCAATCCTGTTTAAGATAAATGGAAAAAAATCAAGATTACCTATTGAAAACAGTGTGGGCCATTTAGAAATACAGTATTTTGTGATAAGTACCTCTATGTATAAGCATAAATTAGATGTGGTGGAATATTTAGCATAATCAGATTCATTACACTTCTCATCTTACTACAAATATTAAATACCTACCAAAACACTAGTACCTTTCTTCCCTTTGCAGGATCACCAAAACAAGGATCTCAAAGTAACTTAAGATAAAGAGCTAACAAGTAGTACTTAATAAGGAATGCTGATACCAAGTTTGATACTGAATGGTTCTGAAGAGTTCTGGAGATGCAAAACATTTAAGAGAGCTTGATTCCACAAATACTATTTACTCAAGAACTATTTAACACATTCCTCCCATATGCAAGGCACTGTACTAGATCCTGGTAACACAAAAAGAAGTTTTACACTTTACAGTGAAATTATTCAGACCAGCTTTAAGGAACAATTATAGCAGACATCAGCCAACACATAAGCAGTATTTAATTTACCCTCCATATCTTACAACTGAGGAAACAATGGCTGAGATGCTGTTAACAATAATAAAAATATGAATCACTCATCTGAATAAATTATTACCATTTGAAGAAGGGAAATCAGCATTTGCTAAATATCTCCTATATGTTATCAGTCATCATGATAGTCACTTTGTGTGTATAATCTCATTAAATCCTCCAAACATAAGGAGATAATTATATATAAACTTACAGGTGAGAAAACAGAAGAAGTTAAATAACTTTCCAAAGGTCAAAAACCTTGTAATTGGCTCGGTGCCTGTGGCTCAAGCGGCTAAGGCGCCAGCCACATACACCTAAGGTGGCGGGTTCGAATCCCCAGCCCGGGCCCGCCAAACAACAATGATGGC